CCGGGGAAGGGGCGGCACCGGGCGTGGTCCCCCGGCGCCGCCGAGCCTACGGGCGGAGTTACGGGGAGGGAGCGGTAGTGTAACCGCCTCCTCCCCCAAGGTCGTGGCGCAAGCCAAGGCGCGGGGAGGACTGCGGAAATCATACAAAGTTCCCGCGGCCCTCCTCAGCCCGCTCGACGAGGATCACCGCGAGGGTTTTAGTGGGTAAGAATCCCACACTACCCCGCCTCTTCCCCCGGGGGAGGCGAGGGGTCTTTGGAAGATTTCCCCAGCGTCAACAAAAACAAAGGGGGTGTTGAGATGTCACTGAAGCATGCTGATTGAGTTTTGGGAATTTTCCAAAATTACCCAATCAGCGTGCAGTTAGAGGAAGGACGGGGCACCGTGGAAGGAGCGCCGCTTCCTTCGAAAAATTCAAAAGTAGAACATAGTAGAACACCAGAGAACACAGAGCAAGACAGTAACACCTGAATAGTACGATCACAGAGATCGAAAAAGTCAACAAGTGACAGACATTGACAGAACATACACGACAGGCAAAGGTTGTAGCCTGTGCAACTACATAGTGATAAATAAAGTACAATTAAGCACAAATTAGTTCCCAACCTATAAGTTGGGTGGTCCTTCGACAACAAAAATTATACGGCACACGAAGGGTGCAATACAACTAGATGGAACTTTAAAGATTAAAGTATACGTTCTCAGCAACAACTATCCCACAACCTGACGTACTACAGTTAAATCTCAATAGATTAAATAGATACCAGTTAATACAACACGCAATGCAATATTTTTGGAAACAAGAGTATCTGCACGAACTCCAGCAGCGTAATAAATGGCAGCTGGACTCTCCAAGCGGCATTAAAATGGGAACCTTGGTCGTTATCCAAGATGACAACACACCCCTTATGAGATGACGATTGGGCAGAATTCCGCGAGTGGTCTCTGTCAAGACCGTGGACGGCATCATCAAGAGACCGGTCAGAAAAATTTGTGTGTTGCCCATAGAAGAGACAGATGCGTAACATCATACCTCTGTAATCCAGTGTACAGTAGTTTTAAGATAGACATTGTACATACATGCCAAACCTAGAATTGTATATATATAGACTAATATTTCTGTAATCGTTTAGACATAAGATATCTTAGGTTACATCAGTCACATTGATCATTTGAACGGTAGAGCGTTCAAGGTGGGCGGGATGTTCGGTCTTCAGCGGCATGGTTTATGACACGACCGTGAGACACGGCTATTTTTGAGGATTAGGACTTTCGTTAGCTCTTGCATGTCATAAAACATCCTAGCGGGGGGTTTTTAGAATTTCGTGACTCTCGCCCTCAATAGCACTTGGACATGTCGTAAATCAGGATTTCTGAAGGGGGCCTATGTAGTGTAACGATCACGGGACCGAAGCGGCCAACCTGGAGGAAATTGTTGCCAACCCACCCACCGCGATCAGCGAGGACATTGCCACTCCCTCTCCAATGTGACGCGCTAAGGGCGCAAGAGAGGGATGTTAATGGCATTCAGTGAATTTAGAGAAACCAATCGGCGCAACTTTAAGGAGCAGGAAGCGACTTGCAAGTGTTACGTTCCGAACAAAATTCTTTATATTTTTCTTGTTGGAGGTCGTGAATCGATATCAGGATTATATTTGACTGGATATCAAATAATCAAGTCCTGATTTCCTGATTGAAAATTTCTGATTAGTTAAGACTGCCATAGTTAACACATTGCGTATGGGTCACGAGATATCTCGTATACAGCAAACCGAACTTTGTGGCCGGGTTACGAGATATCTCGTTTTAATGTTTTTTCATACGCGCTTATCGACGACTCAAGAAATTAAAAATAAATTTTTTTATTACGTCACCAAGGCAACGAAGCCTTGCATATGCTTATGACAAATGATTAGCGAAATAAATGTATGTCGAAATTCCGAAAGAGTAGAAAACAATCGGTCAGTGTTGCCATTACATCGGTAGGTCAGTGTCGATCGTGCATCGCACCTTATACAGTGTTTTATCGTTGTACAACATTTTGTTATTTGAAAGTCCGCGTTTCAATTTGTGAGGAAACAGTTTTTGAATTATTTTACAAAATAGACCCTAATTCTAAAAATGTAGCAAAATGTCTCATAGAAATAAAGAAAATGAAAGTCAAGATGAATTATCGTTTGATGATTTATCGAATACACCAAATAACACTTCAGATGAAAATGAACTTAGTGACAATAGCAACATTCTTGAATTAAGTGATGTTATTAAACAAAGAAAAAGAATGAACATAAAATATAATATTTCAAGCGAAAGTGAAGCTTCGGAGACGAAGACTGATGAGCCTATAATTCAAGAATGGACAGAAAAGGATACTTTTCCCAATTTGGAACTTTTTAAAGGAATTTCTGGCATGTCTACATCATTACAAAAAAACTGCAATGTGAAGGAAGCAGTCGATTGTATATTTGGGAATGAATTTTTCAAAATTATTAGTGAGGAAACAAATCGTTATCATTTACAAAATTTACAGAAATACAAGTCTAATTCGAAACAAGGAAAATGGAGGAATGTCTCATGTTCAGAAATAAAGAAATTGTTTGGAATATTTATTTTAATGGGACAAATACGAAAAGAAAAAATAAAGGAATACTGGTCCGTGGATCCATATTTGGCAACACCTATCTTTTCAAAATTAATAAGCAGGAACAGGTTTGAAGAAATTACGAAATATTTACATTTTAATGATAACATGAAAATGAATGAAAATAGCGATAGACTCTACAAAATAGAACCTGTTTATAGTTATCTAATAGAAAAATTTAAAACTGTTTATACTCCTCACCAAAACTTGTCTCTGGATGAAGCCATGATCCCTTGGCGTGGAAAATTAATATTTAAAACGTACAATCCACGAAAGCTCACCAAATATGGAATACTTGTACGAGTATTATCAGAGAGTCAAACTGGTTACATATGTAATATAGAAATTTATTGTGGACAAGACAAAAAACTGCAGGACACTGTAACAACAATTCTTACACCGTATTTCGGATATTGGCACCATCTTTATATGGATAATTATTATAATACTTCGAATATTGCTGAATTCCTGTTACAGAATAAAATACGAATATGTGGTACAATACGCGCTAATAGATTGCCAAGATGTTTGAAAACAAAGCCGTTAAAGCTAAAAAAAGGAGAAAGTATTTTCAAGCGGAAAAGTGATATTTTGTTACAAATTTGGAAAGATAAAAGAGAAGTACGGATGATTTCCACAATTCATAAATTTGAAATGGTTGAATGTATTGGAAAATACAATACCATAAGCAAACCTAAATGCATCGTTGATTATAATCTAAACATGAACGGTGTTGACATCGCAGATCAATATCTCTCATACTATTCAATACTGAGAAGAACAATTAAATGGCCTAAGAAAGTGGTATTATATCTCATCAACTGTGGCCTATTCAATGCCTTCAGAATTTATAATTTTTATAATAATAAAAAGATGAAATATAAAGATTTTTT